TCGGCAACGTGACTTATCTCTCGCTGATTCAAGCGTCGCTCGCCAACGACTATTACGTCGCCGGCTTCAACAGCAGTGGCATGCACGCGTACCTTGCCAACGTCGTGAACCGCGAGCTTATGTTCACGTCATCGGGGACCGTCGCTCTCGACGACGCGAGCCGCGGCGACATCAACCAGCGCTACGACAGCGAGGCCAGTTTGATTCAATGGGGCGCGACGCTGAGCAACCGGCTGCTGCTGGACCCGAGCGGCGTCGCTTTGGAGAGTGTCGTCCGCGACTTGCGGTCGATGGATCCGTGTCGGCTGCCGTGGATCGCAACGCAGTACTGCTGGCTCGACTTGGATCGCAACTGGGCCATGGCCAGCACAGTAGCGCGGCAAGCACGCTGCGAAGCGACAATGGCAGCGAACGGCGCCGTGTACTTGGAAGCCCCGCTGCGCAACCTGAACGACTGGGCCGTGTGGCAACGCTGTTGGGGCCATTCGTTTGAGATTGGCTTCGTCGCGTACCTCCGAACGCTGCAAGCAGGCCGGACGTGGCTCCAGCGTGTGCAAGGCGTAGCCATGTCGATTGGCGACGAAGCAGCGTTCTGGCGACGTCACGGCCTCACCACGTATGCGCTGCAGTGGCAAAATTACAAGACACTGGGCTTGGCACATGCGTTTGGCATCAGAAATGCGCTCGGGGTGACGTATGCGCTTCCGCTTGGGGATGTGATTGGCAGCTTCCACCCGACGCAGCAGACGTCGATGCGCGCCTATTGGACGCTGGCCAGCGACCTCTGGGCCGTCGCGACCAATGCGAGTGGCATCGGCGGGCGCAGCCTTCTGGCCGCGAGTCCCGCGTTTGCCTCGTCGAATGTATCGGGCGTGGCGCTCTTGACACGCAATTTGACGCTGCCGAGTCCACTCCGGAGCGGCTTGGTGTCGTTTACGAGTCGTGTGGGCCCCTTCAACGCCGTCGACGTCCTATACGTGCCGATACCCGACGATGTGAGTCGACTCTTTGCGACATTGACGCAGTCGCTCGCGGCGCTTGTGCTACACAATGGCGAGGCACGCGATCGGTTCTACGACTTGGCGATTCCGAGTTCGATCTTTCACGCCCCCGGCGTGCTCATCGACGACACGTCGGCCGTCGTCGTTGGCGGCAACATTCTCTGCGGCAACGACAACGCGGCGTACCCTGCCTCGGTCGCTTTGTACAAGCTCTTTGGCACGGATGGCCTCTGCTTTGTCAATTTTGCCGAGCAGATCTACCCAACGACCCAAGAAGTGGTGATCGCGCTCGCCGTCCACGAAGGCACGTCGTCTCCAAAGGTGTCAGCCGCCGGTATTTGTCGCCTCAACAACGCTGCTGCCGCGTCGTGCATCTCGACGTACGTCGCATTGTCGGATTTTCTATCCAACCATGCGTCCATCTTTCAAGCGCCACCGTTGCTGTCGCTGGCGGCGGCGGCCAAAGCGAGCGTGTCGACGCTGAACGTCCAGCTCACGCAGTACGTCGACTACAACGACGGTCGTGGCGCTGTGCTTTTCAGCCTCCCGCTTTTCGACGCGGGCGATCCCGCGTGGGCATTCTACGGCTGGTGCTATGTCTACGAGTGGGCGACCGGCGGGCGCGAGGTCGTTCGCTTTGAAGGTGACGAAGGCGCAATCACTGCCATATCGCACTACACCGCTCCTCAGAGCATGGCACCGGACCCGGCGACGACCCCGGCCAGTTTCGCGGCCTTTTGCCAGTATGCCGTTGTGTACGTCACACTCGTGCTCATTGCAACGTCCGGGCTCGTGGCGATTAGCGCGGTCTACTGCCGCGGCCGCATCGAGGGCCTCAACTTCTTCTGCGTCAACCGTCTCATTGGGCTCGTCTGGGTCGGCCGCACCCTCCTCGTGCTCCGAACAATAACGGCGCTGAGTCTCTTGAGCACGGTGCCGCTGGCGCTGACCCGCGTCGGCGGCGCCACAAGGCTCGTCACGCCCGCCGTGCCGTGGTACAAGACGATCCTCGCCGCGTCCGAAGTCACGTGGCTAGTCTACGTCCTCAACGACGTCTTGAGCTGCGTTACCCTCGCGCACACGGCCTCGTATGCGTTCAAGAGTTCCAACCTCGCGTGGCTCCTCGTTGCGATCTGGTCGTATGCGCAGCCGCAGCGCGC